CATGAAATTTGGCCCGACCCGAGGAAGACGAGCACGCTAGAGATGCTCCATCGTTCGTCGATGTCCCTCGCCATGTCTGCATCGCTGAACACAGTGAGCTGCAGCATACTCCCACCGGTCTTTAGAAAGATGATCCCATGATCCACCGTCCCCTTGACGTAGCGCAGTAGCCGCTTCACCGCAGCCTAGTGATCCTCTCTGGGATTCTCCATGAAGCGACTGACGTAGCCCATGGCGAACGCAATGTCCGGCCTCGTGTGGACTAGGTAACGCAGACCGCCGACGATGCTCTGGTAGAGTGTTGCATCCACCTTTGACACGGTGCTGGCATTCGTTAGCTTCAACCGCTCCTCCATCGGAGTTACGCATGGCTTGCACTCAGTCATGCCGCTCCTCTCCAACATCTTGGAAGCATACGCGCTCTGACCGAGTGTGAGTTCCTCCTTACCCTGTCTCACCTCGATGCCGAGGTAGTAGGAGAGTACGCCGAGATCGCTCATTCGAAAATGAGCCGCCATCTCTTGCTTTAAGCTGTTGATGTCCTCCGTGTGCGCGCCGGTGATGATTAAGTCATCCACATACACGCCGACGATGAGCTCCTCCTTTCTCCGTCGCCGCGTGTAGAGCGCGTGCTCGGTTACGCACCGTTGAACCCCAAGCTCGCCCAGCGTGGCATCAAGCTTGGCATTCCATGCTCGTGGGGCCTGCCGCAGCCCGTAGAGCGCCTTACAAAGTTGGAGCACCCTGTGCTCCTCTCCCTTGACGGCGAAACCTGGAGGTTGCCTGACGAAGACCGTCTTCGTCAGTTCGCTGTTGAGGAAGGCCGATTTCACGTCCAAGTGATGGACGCGCCAGTCCTTTGCTGCTGCCAAGGCTAGTAGCAAATGGACCGACTCCATGCGCGCTACTGGCGTAAAGACCTGCTCGAAGTCTATGCCCTCGCGCTGAACAAAGCCTCGGGCAACGAGGCGCGCCTTGTGCTTGACAATGGCACCGAGCTCGTCCCGCTTGACCTTGTACACCCACTTCAGGCTGATCAGACGGCATCCTGGAGGTGGATCGACGAGATGCCAAGTCTCGTTTTCCTCGATCGCCTTCATCTCCTCCAGCATCGCTCGTCACTAGTTTCCATCGCGCTCGGCCAGCGTGAACGTGGGTGGTTTCTCTCCACTGACGAGTAGTAGCTCTGCATCATTGAGCAGCCTACCCACCAAGCCTGAGGGACCTGTGCCGTCGACGATATCGTCCAGCCTACGGAACCGCACCTCCTCACCTTCGTGGAAGGCATCCACGAACTCAGTGATGTCACTTGGAGGTGAGGCGAACTCGATTGGCATCGATGGAGTTTCCTGTTTCCCCGGAGTGCTTGGCACATCACCTTGAGTACTCGACACTACTTCTAGACAGCTCGTCATAACTCCTGTAGTGTTCGGCCACACTGTAGGAGTGCCTAGCCTCAGTCTAGGAGTGGTTGGCACCACTGCAAGACGTCTAGGCTCCACCATGGGAGTGCTCGGCACCCGTCCTGGAGTGGTCACCACCACTGTAGAACCTCCCGGCATCACTCCTGGCGTGCTCGGCATCCCTCCAGGAGTGCTCGACACTCTTCCCTGAGTGCTTGGCATCCCTCCCGAAGTGCTGGGCATTGCCCCAGGAGTGCTCGGCTCTACCACCGGAGTACTCGACACTCCTCTCGGAGTGCTCAGCACCTCTTCCCTAGCGTCTCCACCACCGTTGATGACCAAGTGTTCGACGATGAAGGTGTTGGTGAAGCCGTCAGCTTCCCTCGTGCTCGGACTGCTCTAGTCCCAAGCCGCCTCCTCGTCGAACACGACGTCGCGCGAGACAAGCACCTTGTCTCCGCGTGGGTCGTAGAGCCGGTACGCCTTGGTACCCTCCGCGTAGCCCAGGAACACCATGGGTGTGCTTCTGTCCTCCGGCTTGGTGAGGTTTGGCTTTATCTTCCTGACGTGGCCGATGTAGCTGAATGTCCGGAGGAAGGACATGTTCGGCTTGCGCCCATACCAAGCTTCGAACGACGTCTTGCCCATCAGGGCCTTGGTCGGAGCGCGGTTGAGGATGAACACTGCCGTGGTCACTGCCTCTCCCCAGAACCTTGCCGGCATGCCTTTGGCCTTCATCATGGATCGGGCCATGCCGACCACCGTCTGGTTCTGCCTCTCCACCACGCCATTCTGTTGTGGCGAGTATGGCGCGGTGTGGTGTTGCCCCACACCCTGATCCGCGCAGTACGCAGCGAACTCCACCGAAGTGAATTCGCCGCCACGATCAGTCCTCAGCACATGGAGCTTCTTGCTGCTCTTGGCCTCCGCGCGTATCTTGAACTTCTTGATCACCGCCGCCACTTCGTCCTAGCGCGTCAAAAGTTACAGCCACATGTAGCGACTGTAATAATCCACGAGCAGGAGAAAGTACCGCCGACCACCATTTGTAGCAGGCGTGATCGGCCCGCAGAGGTCGCCATGGACGACCTCGAGAGCGTCCTTCGCGCGATACTTGGCCGCCTTTCGGAATGGTAGCCTCCTCTGCTTCCCGGCTAGGCAGCTGTCACATAGCTCGCCTCCGTGCTTGATGTTGGGTAGCCCTCAGACCATCTTCTCTAGCCGACCAAGCGCGTCGAAGCTGAGATGTTCGAACCGGGCATGCCACATCCACGGTTCCTTGGAGTACCTTACCGCCAGGCACACCGGCTGCTCTACCTTCAGGTCGAGCAGGTACAACCGGTTCAGGGACCTCTTCACCTTGGCGAGAAGTCGCTGCTCCTGGTCCCTGATCCTAAGGACTCCGTCCTTGATCAGTACCTTGCTACCGCGCTCATCCAGCTGACCAATGCTGATGATGCTGGAACGCAGCTGCGGGATGTAGTATACATCCGTTAGCGCGTGGTGCTCCCCGTTTTGGCACCTGAAGATAATGGTGCCGCGCCCTTGGATAGCCACTCTTGAGCCGTCACCAAACTTCACTGTACCGGTAACATCGTCGTCGAGCTCGGAGAAGGATTCCTTGAGCCCGTCATGTGGTTGCTGGCACTAGAGTCCAGATACCACCGATGCTCCTGGTCGGCGCCCACACGTCCGAGGTGAACTTGGGCGCGTGGTTCGTCGAGGTTGACGGTCTTCAGGGCCTTCCCAGGTCCTCTCATTGTCGTCGCCTCTTCCCTCTCATCGGCCTCGATATCGTGTAGTGCACAGAACGTCGCCACCATGATAGTGGCCTCATCCTCATCATCGGCTTGCGCTAGATGAGCATGAGCCTTCTTCTCCTGCTTGCGATTTGGGCACTCCCGTGCCCAATGGCCCATCTTCCCCCAACGCCGGCAGGCGTTGGGGTCGACCTGCTTCTTCTCCGAAGAGCCTTGCCATGGCGCTTGCCATCACCACCGCGGCTGGAGGAGGCTGCTTTCTCGGAGTTCCTCCGAGCAGCCCACTCCTCTTCCATCAGCAGGAGTTTCCCGCTGTCCTTCGTTGCTGTCGCCTGCTCCAGGCGCTCGTCCACCGCCCGCAAACGGCCTATCACATCCTCAATGGTGAGGGTGGACAAGTCCAGCATCGTATCTATGGAGAGAGCGATCTGGATATACTTTGTCGGTACGGAGTAGAGGTACTTGGAGACAGCATCCTCTTCGTCGATGGTGACGCCATGGCTCTTCAACTTACTGATGAGCGTCTGCAGGCGAAGGGAGAAGTCCTCCACCGTTTCACCATCCTTGAACTTGAGGTTGCCGTACTCCTGCTTCAGAAGCTGGGCCATCGCCTTCTTTGCGCGGTCGGAACCGACGCGCATCGCCGCAATAGCCTCCCACGCCTCCTTAGCCAAGCTCTTCGCCCCCAACGGCTCCCTGTACTCCGCCGGTACAGCAGCGAGGATAGCCTCCAACACTGACATGTCATCTTTCCTAGTGTCGGTGCACTTGTCAACATCATTCCAGAGCCGTCGGGCTCTGAGCTTGACCTTCATGGTCACCGACCACTCTCCATAGTTGGTGCGAGTCAGCGTCGGCCAACTGGTGCCGCTGACCTCCTGCACCGTACGAACAACGACCTCCGGTCGTGGGTGGGCAGCCACAGCAGTGCTACTACTGTCGCCCATCTCCGAACCTACGGCTCCGATACCATTTGTTGGCCCACAGAATCACCGGTTCAGATGAGTGTACCACTCACCAGTCTTGCCGAGCACCTGCTAGTGTTGCCGAGCACCCACTAGCCATGCCGACCACGAACAAGCTTTGTCCGTCCCCACACACTATGGCTAGAGCTAAAAGAAGAAGAGAGAACGGAGCATGCACACACAGTACAAGACACCAGCGTTGGTTGAAGCCTTGTCTGGGAGATGGCAAATCTAAACTCTATCCATCTAGTTCCAGTACAGCTGCCCTGCTGCAACAGTGACTAGATAACATACAACGCTGACTCTACGCCGGTCACTGCATGTGCCTACAGTGCTGCAGGTGAGCACTTCAGCGCCTGCACCTGCAGCGACTACGGTATCACACCTTTACAATTACAACAGCTTGCTATCTTGGCCAGAGAGGTACTACAGTCACTCAAAACAAAAAATTTCACAGTTTGCTGCTACGTCTTTCCAGTACTAGTAGCTACTTAGAAGGCTATTATTCTCTCATTGCTTCTGTGTTAACTAGTACTTGTTAATTTTGAAGATGAACAACAGATACATGATTATCCTTGGCCTAGGCTCCGCGCTGCGCTACCTCCACACGGAGTGGGATCAGTGCGTCCTGCAAGGGCGACATCAAGCCCAGCAACATACTACTCGACTCGTCACACAGCACAAAGCTAGGAGATTTTGGCCTGGCCAGGCTCGTCGACCATGGAGCCGGGCCAAGGACGACGCAGGTCGTTATGGGCACCGCCGGGTACATCGACCCGGAGTTCATCCGGACTCGGCGCCCCAGCGTTGAGTCCGACGTCTACAGCTTCGGCGTCGTCCTCCTGGAGATCATCACGGGACGGCGGCCGGAGATGGAGCACCCGGACAAGGTGATCCCGCTACTCAAGTGGATCTGGGACCTGTACAACAGAAATGCTCTTCTGGAAGCGGTGGACAAGAGGCTGCTGACCGAAGGCAGGCAGCTGCTGGACGGTGGCTGCGAGTGGCAGCTGCAGCGCGTGTTGGTGGTCGGGCTGTGGTGTGCGCACCCGGAGCCTAGCGTGCGACCGTCAATTGTGCAAGCCATGAACGTCCTGCCATCCGAGGATGTGACGCTTCCAGTTCTGTCGCAGCAGGAGTATAACAGGACTACGTCCGACTTTTCGCGTGGAACCCGCGGTTACCACTCGCCGGGAACGGGAAACATATATGGCGACTACCGCTCGCCGGCGACGGGAAATATATCCAACGACGACGTGTCTTGGGTGCTTAACGGGGGCAGATGTTGATCGAACATGTATAATGTATAGTCCTACTCCCTCTTTGTCTCACAAAGGGTGTCATTCTCCCTTTTCGAAAAAGTTAAGCATTTGCAGTTTGGATTGAATGGCTGATAGATAATCAAAGTTGAAAATGCAGTCAATCTCTCAGGCGATGCTTTACGGTGGTTGAATTTGATTGAATGGCTGGATCATTGCCTACAAAGACAAGGATGCACAGTCATTAACCACCGATGTAGCAGTCAAATGCAGCAAGGTGAGAGGCTCCACCGCAGGACACGCGGCTGCTCGCTCACTGGTCTATGCGCCTGTGGTCCGCAGGTTGGGCGAAAGCAGGAAGAAGCAAGCAGCAGAGCTATATCGACTGAACATGACTCAAAAAAATCATTCGCCTGATAGATAGGAATCGTGATATAAAAAATACTAATTACATGGTGCATAATTAGTATCATAATATAAACTTATTTAGAGATATAAATGTTGTAAATATTTAAGGCCAGTCTCAGTTAGGGTTTCATCTAAGTTTTATTTGTATTTGATACTGTGACACATCGCTGGATTTGGTGACTTGGCTAGTTCATTATGAAGAGAGATAGAAAGACTTACATCTGAATGAAACCCATTGTTCTTGCAGCATGGAGAAGAGGTCAAGCTATGCAAACTGCAATCAATATGATTTTTGATGCTTCTTTGCATCCATAAACGTGATTATTTGCTCATCATGTAATGTGCTAGTGGATCAATTTCTCAGGTTTGTTTTAATAAAGCCATTCCCCTCGCGTTCATTGGAGTGGACGAGAGAAACTGATCAGGAGAAATTAGCTAATCCACATTTGTTGGGAGATGATGGATTTATCTAAACAAGTCCTAATAAATAAAGAAAGGTGGGACAAATTTAGCATACAATAAAAAATGGACAGCTGAAATGCTAGCTTATTAACGATGTGGCTTGATGTCATGCTATGCGACGGCCCGCCGTAGACCCGTAGATTTTTTTAATATTGGAATTAAACATCCAACTTCATCCTCTCAATAGAGGAATTTGACCAAACTTATTACAAAGTTTAACACATTAAACATCACATAGTTCATAGACACCTTTAACTAAAACCAAGCCTAAAAGTCATCCATGGGATGCAAAGAAAGCCATTGCTGCAGTCTCCGGCTTGCAACATGTTTGTATAATCTAGTCTTTTCTCTCTTCACTATGCTGCAATTGGGCCCAATATCGGACCTACCCTACAAATACTTTTTAGGTTGAGATTTATCAAAAACTCTATCATTCCTTGTTAGCCATATAGACCAACAAAATCCTGCAGCACCAGTCACCAGTAGAGAATGTACTTATCGCATCCTTGTTTACGCCATCTCCATTGAATAAACCACCTTTTTTTGCGAGACCCAATTACAAAAGCAGATGCTCACATACACGAGCGCACACTAACCTCTATAAACGCACGTACGCACACCCTACTCTTATGAGCACATTCGAAGAACTGAGCTGTACCGGCAAATCTCGAGATTGACGAAGTCACCACAGACGCCTCGTTATCGACGGGCACTTCGCCTACAACTGAAAAATAGCGCCGTTAAATCCTGGAAAAAATCCAGGAAAATACGATCACCCGTGTCAAGTTGGGGACTTATATCCGGGTGGGCAGGTTTCACCATAGGGAACCCAACCAGCTGAGCTACGCTCAATTTGCCTATTGAATAAACAACCTTGGCATACATGGAGTTGTCGTTCCACACTCAAAGGAGGCACAACAAACACAATATATAAAGCGTGCCACAAAAATCTAGCATGGTAACATTCAAAGAAGAGGCGATGAATGGTTTGAAAATTAGTACAAAAGCAACATAATTTACTATCATTCCAATTCTTTCTAGCTAGATTTGATAGACTGATTTAGAAGATGAATGACACCTTTTATTCCATATATATATATACAGGCAACAATACAATGGGATATAGTACAGTACGTATAGGGCAATCAGCCACGAGCCAACTACCCTACTCTGAAATATACGCAGCACGGCACCTCTCACCAACAAAGGAAACAAAACCATCAACTGCAGCCGATGTTCACTCCTCGGACCAGGTGATGTCTACCATGCCGACGTTCTGATCGAGCCCCAAGGCATCCCACACAGCTGGCGACGCGTCGACGATGTTGTTGTCGCAAGGCGGCTCAAAGTTGTGGTCCTCGTCACAGCCTTCCACGGAGTCACACTCGTCCACCACCTTGGCGTACACGGAGTTGCCGTTCGCTGTGATCTTGATGCGGTGCCCGCAGCGCGCCATGTTGCTGAACCATCCCGTTGAGAGCGCAACAACCTTCTCCTCGTCACTGTGGTACGCGTTGTCGCACTCTGACGGGCCGCCGCCGTCCTTGCCCTTCTCAAAGCTGTTGAGCGTCAGCACTGCCTTGGTGCTGGCTGTGACCGGCGGCGAGCAGCGATACTGCGGGTACATCTTACCGTCCTCGCAGCAGTCCGGGTCGTTGCTCTTCTCACAATTGCCAGACCGGCCCGGGAGGTACCCGCTGGGGCGGCATGTGCCGAGCCCGAGGCCAGCGTGGGGGCGGAGGGAGGACGCCATTTGGGAAGCAGAGAGCGTGACCAGGAGGAACATCGCCATGGTGGCAACAGTTCCTGCAGTGGTCATCTTTGCTAGCTTAAAAAAAAAAAGATGGTCAGGCTCTCCTCGCAGGCTGGCACCCTGTTTTTCTTATTTCCTGTGATCTGATTTGCTTGATGGTTTGAGGTTAGTCTCGTGGTGCGTGGGATTATATAGTGGTCTTTCCGCTTCTCCTATGTTAGTATGAAGTATATGAACGTGCACTGATGGACATAACGTACGGAATGGTTCGACTTGGATGGATGTGATTACCCGAGACGGCAATGCGGTCACCTACAAGTACATGTTTTCGCCGTGCCGTATGGAATGTTTGAACTCTTTTCGATGTGAACATGTGGACAAGATACGTTGTACACAGTTAACTTCATTTTGATATTGGAAATTGAAAAGTCCAAAGATATCGTGGGTTTCTGCCATGCATGTATTTTACCCAACTCAACCAAATACACGCTACATGATCGCAAAATGCACCTCACCATGCTGCAAAGTAGTTTCAATTTTGGCCTCGTTTGGATCAATATTGAGCCAACCACTAATTAGTATTTGAATAAAAAAAAATGGCTTAATAACTTCGAGATCACGGAAGCTGAATTCGAGAGAGGGGTGGGCCCTAGGAGGGACCGCTACCACGAACTCGCCGCTGCCATGAGCAACTTCGCCGAGGAGGAGACGCTCGGCCGTGGGGGCTTTGGCAACGTGTACCGGGGCAGCCTCGGTGATCAAGACCAAGGAATTTTTTATCGGCTGAAAGTTATGGATTTTTTCAGAATATCGTCTCTATCGGTGGGGCCCGATAAAAATAGGTAATCGGCCAATTTTTTGGCTTTTTCCTCTTCCCGCGCAGATGGGCCCAAACTTCCCGCGCGACAGTCCAACAGCGCCTCCCAGCCCACAAAATCCCCCCAAACCCTAGAAATCTAATCGTAATCCCATTTGTTCCCCTCACGCAGGCACAACCACGCTCATGGCGCCGCCGCCGCCATAGCCTGGACCCACGAGGCCATGAATCCAACCCGCGGTGTTGCACGGAGTCGACGAATGACGGGTACGCGTGCCGGCGTGCGGCAGCGCCACCGCCGCGAACTGCTCATCGAGCGCCCGTCGCGGCAGGGGACCTGCTGGTGAGCTTCACGCCTTCAGCAGTTCAGCACACCATAGTCCAGAGTTTGGTGTGTTTTCTCTTTTCTACTCAAGGATTTAACTTTCTTCCAGCAATAGATGGTAGATGGTAGAGAAGTGCAGTGGTGCTTTGCTAGCTGAATAATTAGTCTTGAATCATTCTAGGATGTTGTTTGAGTACAAAATAATTTCTTTTATTTGTTCAACTTGGTGGATTAGAGAATAGTACACTTAACAGGAAGCGTGTATCAACCTGCAATTTTGTACAGAATAATTACTCTTGTATAAAATAAAATTTATTTTAGGAATTTTGATACAGCATGTTTCAATCCTAATTGGCAGACAAATTCTAGGAGAGATGGAATGCCATAGCAGTGGCAAGGGGAAAGTACCTGGCAGCAGCGGCGAGCCATCCAGTGTGGCTGACACATATGTGGTTACTACTGGAGGTCTGTTTGTGTAGCAAAATACCCTTTTTTTGTTTCATGTTTCATCCATGAATTGTTCTGTTCTAACGATGGATCACACTGTTTTTTAGGGAGGCGGATAAAATTGAAAGGACCAATTGAAGATACATGGAGCCATGGGACACAATCGGGTACAAATGGCTGGAAGTGTGGCTACTGTTCTGTAGGCCAGAAAAGTGGAGGGAAGACCCGCTTAACGAAGCATTTGTGTGCAATATCTGGTAATGTGAAGTCATGTTCCCATGTGCCACCTAATGTTAAGACAATATTGCTGGATCAAGTAGCATTAGCGAAGAAAAAGAAGAGAGATGTTAAGGAAAGTCGTCTCTATATTGAGAAGGCACTCATGGAACATGATTATAGAACAACTTTAGCTAGCCTTGACGAAGAGGCACAGTATGAGATGGCAATGCAAAACTTACTGATGGATATTGGCTCAACTCCTAAGAATAGGGCAAGTGGTAGTGGTATTTGTTGGACTGCCAGTCCAAGTGGGTCAAGTGGCAGCCCTCTGTTTCATAAGGGAAGTGCCACTAGTACTGGGCTTTCAAATCTAGGCAAATCAAGTAGCAGTGGGAGTAAGTCCGCTACCTTAGGCAAGGCAAGTAGCAGTGGCAGTGGGGCTGCTGCCTCCACTAGACAAAGTTCGCTTCACAGTTTCTACCAGAACCCAAGTTCTTCAAAAGCTCCCTTTGACATAGACTTGGCACGTAGTAAGGCGCCCTTACAGCCTCGAATTGACACTATGCTTAGTGGGGATTCCGTGCTTAGGCTTGTGAAAA